CAAAGGTATTTACTTGCGGGCCTAAATACCGCAAAGAGTTTAAATCAGACGTCTTAAGACGACCAAAGACTTTCAAAATTTCCCTTGGTCTCAGTTCGTTTTAATTTGTTTTCAATGAATGTTTGCAGTTTGAGTTATGCTTAATTCCAATTCGTATTTTGTTTCACCTACCTATCATTTCCCACATACTTTTTGCGTCCTACCTATTAAGCGATTACACTTACGTCGAAAGAGCCGGTGGGTGCTTATAATGCAATACCCTGCACGGTGAACAGCTTGCGAGTTTTGCAGCGGTGCGATTGCTGGGGCTTATCGCTGACTGAAAAGGGTAAATACAGTAAATACAGATGGCTGTGTTGGATCCCTTTGCTTTTGCCCAACATTCAGCGTTGGAATTGTGGCTTTACCGTCCCTCTTATTAAAGTTATCTAACTTTTTGTAGCTTCGTCAGGTTAGACACGACGCGCGCGGCGGTATCCATCTGGTGGCCGCTGGCGGAACTACCGCGCATTGCCCGCTTGCCGCACGGGCCTGGCGGCCGCCAGTGGAACTACTGCGCAGGTGGCAGCACCTGCCCGTGGAGAAGCGGCTGGCAATCGGCCGCCCCACTCCCCACCCCGCCCCCACCCAGCTGGCCGCCAGACCGTGGGAACGACTCGGCTCAGCGCTGCCGGCCGCTGGACGGGGAAACCCCGCCCCGCCGCCCGCCGCCCGACACACTGCCGCCGGGCCGGCCGGTGGAATTTTCCAGCCGTCTCTCCGGAACGGCGGCACCTCGCTCATTTTCGCACGCGCATTCAGCGGCGGCTTGTCGATTTTTCGAGTGTCGGCTGCCGATCTCCCGAGAGCCGGCCACCTGTCAGCCGCCGCTCGGCTCTGTGTTAAGCATATGGGGACGGCGAATTTCTCCCGGAGGGAAGCACCTCGCTCACAAAAGCACGTGAATCAGCCGCATTCCTGTGTGGCGCGCAATGCTGAAGAGATATGTGTTTCCGCGGGTATCTCGCAAGCCCTAACAGGAAAAGCTCGCTGCAAAAACTGAGCACTTCAAATAACGCCAAATCCTACTCAAATGGATATTTAAACAAGATATCTTGGCTCGCTCCGCGTCGCTTTGGCCATAAAAAGATTCGGGAGAAAATTTGGGATCGAATGGTGTTTTTCCGGTGACGATCGGACGTCTAGAAGCTTCGATATTGGCGAAAAACTTGCTGAACTTGCAAAAGTACTTGGTACTTGCTTGGTACTTGCCAAAGTACTCGGTACTTGCCAAAGTACTTGGTACTTGCTTGGTATTTGCATAAGTACTTTGTATTGGCCTTGGTACTTGCTTGGTATTTGCATAAGTACTTGGTACTTGCTTGGTACTTGTAAAAGTACTTGGTACTTGCTTGGTACTTGCGAAAGTACTTGGTACTTGCACTCGCCCCCCCCCCCCCGTTCCCCCGACTCTACTCGCACACCTACCTCCTCGGGATAATTCCGGGTTCGTCGGGTAGGAAAACTTGCCACTCTACTCCCCCCCCCCACAGAGCCATTTGGTATCGATTGGTGTTTATCCCGTGTCAATCGGTCGTCAATAAGCCGAGATATGCACGGCGAATTATTTCAATCGGCGTCGATCAGAATCTTCAGAACGGAGGGACCCACACTCATTTCTGGCCGTATCTCACTTTTCCGAGATGTACGTCAAACTACGTATTTAAAACTACATATTCTAAGGCCGAATCTTCAAACTGGGGGTACCTCAGACCGTGGGAACGACTCGGCTCAGCACTGCCGCACGCGCATTCAGCGGCGGGTTGTCGATTTTTCGAGTGTCGGCTGCCGATCTCCCGAGAGCCGGCCACCTGTCAGCCGCCGCTCGGCTCTGTGTTAAGCATATGGGGACGGCGAATTTCTCCCGGAGGGAAGCACCTCGCTCACAAAAGCACGTGAATCAGCCGCATTCCTGTGTGGCGCGCAATGCTGAAGAGATATGTGTTTCCGCGGGTATCTCGCAGGCCCTAACAGGAAAAGCTCGCTGCAAAAACTGAGCGTTTCAAATAACGCCAAATCCTAGTCAAATGGATATTTAAACAAGATATCTTGGCTCGCTCCGCGTCGCTTTGGCAATCAAAGTATGAGGGAGAAAATTTGGGATCGATTGGTGTTCGTCCCGTGTTAATCGGACGTCTAGAAGCTTAGATATTCACGAAAAACTTGTTGAACTTGCAAAAGTACTTGGTACTTGCTTGGTACTTGCCAAAGTACTCGGTACTTGCCAAAGTACTTGGTACTTGCTTGGTATTTGCATAAGTACTCGGTATTTGCCAAAGTACTTGGTACTTGCTTGGTATTTGCATAAGTACTTGGTACTTGCTTGGTACTTGTAAAAGTACTTGGTACTTGCTTGGTACTTGCGAAAGTACTTGGTACTTGCACTCGCCCCCCCCCCCCCGTTCCCCCGACTCTACTCCCACACCTACCCCCTCGGGATAATTCCGGGTTCGTCGGGTAGGAAAACTTGCCACTCTACCCCCTCCCCCCCCCCCACACACACACAGAGCCATTTGGTATCGATCGGTGTTTATCCCGTGTCAATCGGTCGTCAATAAGCCGAGATATGCACGGCGAATTATTTCAATCGGCGTCGATCAGAATCTTCAGAACGGAGGGACCCACACTCATTTCTGGCCGTATCTCACTTTTCCGAGATGTACGTCAAACTACGTATTTAAAACTACATATTCTAAGGCCGAATCTTCAAACTGGGGGTACCTCAGACCGTGGGAACGACTCGGCTCAGCACTGCCGCACGCGCATTCAGCGGCGGCTTGTCGATTTTTCGAGTGTCGGCTGCCGATCTCCCGAGAGCCGGCCACCTGTCAGCCGCCGCTCGGCTCTGTGTTAAGCATATGGGGACGGCGAATTTCTCCCGGAGGGAAGCACCTCGCTCACAAAAGCACGTGAATCAGCCGCATTCCTGTGTGGCGCGCAATGCTGAAGAGATATGTGTTTCCGCGGGTATCTCGCAGGCCCTAACAGGAAAAGCTCGCTGCAAAAACTGAGCGTTTCAAATAACGCCAAATCCTAGTCAAATGGATATTTAAACAAGATATCTTGGCTCGCTCCGCGTCGCGTTGGCCATAAAATGATTAAGGAGAAAATTTGGGACCGATTGGTGTTCGTCCCGTGTTGATCGGACGTCTAGAAGCTTAGATATTTGCGAAAAACTTGTTGAACTTTCAGCTTGCTGTATCACCTGCTACTTGGTAATGTACTGAAAACTTGCTAATGTACTGAAAACCTGCCAAAGGTATTTACTTGCCTAAATACCGCAAAGAACTTGATTCTTTCCGACGTTTAAAGCAGACGGCCCGCTTGCCGCACGGGCCTGGCGGCCGCCAGTGGAACTACTGCGCAGATGGCAGCACCTGCCCGTGGAGAAGCGGCTGGCAATCGGCCGCCCCACTCCCCACCCCGCCCCCACCTAGCTGGCCGCCAGACCGTGGGAACGACTCGGCTCAGCACTGCCGCACGCGCATTCAGCGGCGGTTTGTCGATTTTTCGAGTGTCGGCTGCCGATCTCCCGAGAGCCGGCCACCTGTCAGCCGCCGCTCGGCTCTGTGTTAAGCATATGGGGACGGCGAATTTCTCCCGGAGGGAAGCACCTCGCTCACAATCGCACGTGAATCAGCCGCATTCCTGTGTGGCGCGCAATGCTGAAGAGATATGTGTTTCCGCGGGTATCTCGCAAGCCCTAACAGGAAAAGCTCGCTGCAAAAACTGAGCGTTTCAAAAAACCCGAAATCCTAGTCAAATGGATATTTAAACAAGATATCTTGGCTCGCTCCGCGTCGCTTTGGCCATAAAAAGATTCGGGAGAAAATTTGGGATCGAATGGTGTTTTTCCGGTGACGATCGGACGTCTAGAAGCTTCGATATTGGCGAAAAACTTGCTGAAGTTGCAAAAGTACTTGGTACTTGCTTGGTACTTGCCAAAGTACTCGGTACTTGCCAAAGTACTTGGTACTTGCTTGGTATTTCCATAAGTACTTGGTACTTGCTTGGTACTTGTAAAAGTACTTGGTACTTGCTTGGTACTTGCGAAAGTACTTGGTACTTGCACTCGCCCCCCCGTTCCCCCGACTCTACTCCCACACCTACCCCTCGGGATAATTCCGGGTTCGTCGGGTAGGAAAACTTGCCACTCTACTCCCCCCCCCCCCCCACAGAGCCATTTGGTATCGATCGGTGTTTATCCCGTGTCAATCGGTCGTCAATAAGCCGAGATATGCACGGCGAATTATTTCAATCGGCGTCGATCAGAATCTTCAGAACGGAGGGACCCACACTCATTTCTGGCCGTATCTCACTTTTCCGAGATGTACGTCAAACTACGTATTTAAAACTACATATTCTACAGCCGAATCTTCCAACTGGGGGTACCTCAGACCGTGGGAACGACTCGGCTCAGCACTGCCGCACGCGCATTCAGCGGCGGCTTGTCGATTTTTCGAGTGTCGGCTGCCGATCTCCCGAGAGCCGGCCACCTGTCAGCCGCCGCTCGGCTCCGTGTTAAGCATATGGGGACGGCGAATTTCTCCCGGAGGGAAGCACCTCGCTCACAAAAGCACGTGAATCAGCCGCATTCCTGTGTGGCGCGCAATGCTGAAGAGATATGTGTTTCCGCGGGTATCTCGCAGGCCCTAAGAGAAAAAGCTCGCTGCAAAAACTCAGCGCTTCAAAAAACCCGCAATCCTACTCAAATGGATATTTAAATGAAGGATAGATCACCAGAGGTCAGGAAAGTCGCTCGACCGGCTACATTATATCCAAATTACAAACATTCCTGTAAAATTACCGTGGAATCAGTAACACCAAATAGAAGAAAAAAATATCAAACCCTACCTTGTTTGTTCGTTTATTGGAACTGCAGGGCGCGCCGACTTCGAAGGTCATTTTGCACACATGCCTAATTTTTCCCAACTTAACGCGCTCGATGCCCGCCAACTCACGCGGACTTTTTCGAAGATGTCAGAGACGACGTGCAGGAAACGGTCGAGCTCGCTGCACTCGAAGGTGCCCAGCTGCGTCAGGCCGCCAGACACCTTGATGTAGCTATCGGCCACGTCTGAAATCATGGACGCAAGGTTCAGTCAGGTCGCTGGATGACGATGCATAGCGCTATAGATATTCATCGGATTACGGTTTTATGTTTAATGCAGGGGATGCATTTTAAAGGGGGATATTCGGCGGGTCACTCGCGGTGCAGACAAAACGCCTAGCATTTCATGAGTTATTGACAAAGATATTCCGCAGGGTTCATGAATGAAATAAGCTGATGTAGCCCTTGATGAACCAATGAAATCCTGTCCCGTAGCTCAGTTGGTAGAGCACCGGACTCCCGGTAGTGAGAGCCCGGGTTCGAGACGCTCCGGCGCACGATATTTGAGACTCCTGACGGGGATGGTCTGCGGTTGGTGGGAGCAGCCGCAGCCAGTTGAAGTCAGTTGAGTGGGACAGACCGTATCCGGCTTTGAAGGGCACGCTAAACTTTGGCATCTAAATTCTCCCGTTACCAGGAATTGCGCGATCGGACGGTAGGGGTCGGGGTCTGCGCAACAAGCTCTGCTTAGCGTGGACTCCGGCTCTGTCAATCCGTCCATTCAAAACATTCGAGCTAAATTTACTTTTTTTTAAATGTAGAAATGAACGAAATTAAGGAGCATAGAACCAATGAATAAACTGACCGCTGACGAGCTCGACGAAATCAAACACCCCATATTTAGCATGTAAAACGATCTATGCATACTGGAAACACACTAAATTATATCAAACGAGAATCGGCCAGCAGGACAGGCTGAGAAGAGGCAGCGGGTAGCCGCCGTGACGGCCGACCGAACACTCACTCTTCCTGGCACGAGTCATACGGTCGGCGCGCTGGGTCGCCTCCTTGATGTGCTCGTGGAAGACGATGACGTAGCTCTTCTCGTGGTCAAAGAACTCATCGACGTCGCGCTGAGTGGCCTGCAGCAGCAGCTCGTCCGTGGTCTTGCTGAAGGACTTCATCAGACCCTCCAGACGCTCCTTGCGGTTACGGCCGCGCACCGACAACTAAACGAACACAGATGGAAGGAGATGTCAGAAGGACGTCGTAGACAGCTTATCATTTTATACGCTACGGCAATTCGAGAGCATATCACACAGTGTTCTAAAATTGGATATTGGTTGGGTGTGCCGATGAAGAAAAAAAAATCCTAGGATGAGAAAAAAGAAGGAAAATAACTGCAGTATTTTTGTAAAATGGTGTAATGCCAATTTTTATGCTAACTGATACACCAGGATTTCATGTCAGGATCTTGACAGGGTGTGGAACAAAAGGATGTGGGTGCATCAACTGTCAAGTGACAAGTGAACTGGCTGTTGGGAATACATGGAACTCTTTTCAGAGATGAAGTAAAGTCGGTCATTCATATTTTAGGGATGAAAATATTTTCCCTATTAGGTAAGATTTGCCATCAAAAAGGCTGAAAAATGAAACACTGTATCACAATCACTTATTTACATTATCCATGACCAAGACTTGTATCAGTATCTAACGTATTCAACCATAGGTATACGAGATGAAGCCGGAGTGATGCTAAATAGCACCCGGCGGCGCTAGCATTCACATCATGCTGTTGTTTATTATGGCTACCAGCCGGACGGAAGCTTCGCAGAAAACTTCTGCCATATCATATATCGCTAATCGGCGAGCTGATTAAGAGGGCGTATGTTTACATCTGTGCCTGTGCTCGCGAGCCATATTTAGTATTTACTCCAACTACTATATATAACGGGCACCATGTGAGTAATGGAATCTCATGAATTCTATAAAAATCCAGGTGGAATAAATCCTTCCTTGCCTTATCATATTTCTTGCAATTGTAAATAAATCACTGCAAGGCGAAACTTTGAAAGCACTTAACATCTGGGGCATTCCACGATAGATCGACCAAAGCCGTACACCCTCATATTTTATTTTTTTGCTTAAAATTGGTCTAATGGGTTGTGATGGGCGGGGAAGCCAGCTGTGCCAAGGATTTTTTTCTTCGAACAACGGTTTCCGAGATATAGCCTCAGGCAATTCCTGGAGGTCACGCTGCAACCCTATGTTTGGCGGCTTATAACTCAGAAACTATTGGTTTTCTATGGTAAAAACTTTATATGGTTCAACTCGCAATCAACCAACAAACGTTTTGGCTATCTCGGATTTTCGATTTTTGAAAATTTTGATCACGTGACATCTTGACCTTTTTTTCGAAGAGTGATCTTGATATTTTCCCAACTGAAAGTCACAATTATGTCTGATGACGATTAAAGCCTTATCAATTGTCATTCATATGCGAAAATAAAAAAGTGGCTTTCGCCCTGCGTTGACCTCAGGTCAGGTCATTTTTATGACCTGTCCATTATTACGAGCGGGAGCGACGCGAGATCTCGAGAATAAGGCAAGATAGCGACAAGCGGTAAACGGTACAGGATTCACACGGATAAGGTCTACAATTTTTACGGAGGTCATTTTCAGGTCAGGTTAAAGATGACGTCACAGGGGTAAAAAGGAAGTCAAAATAGTTTTGGCTGTACCTTTTGATCTAATAAAGAAAGAGACGTGAAACAGGCACCATTGTGTTTGCTTTCGCCTAGCGCCAGTTCATTTTGAATTTCAATACCGATGACCTAAGATCAGGTCAATTTCTTGACCACCCCATTATAAGTCAATTGGGAAAAAAATCAGCTCCCTTGTTTTTACACTAAAACGCGTCGGAATTGCCTAATATACCATGAGTGACTTCATATACGACTAACTTTGACTACCTTGAGACCTTTTTTGCTCTTGGTCAATTGTGACGTTGCTCTTGGGTCATGTGACGTCATTAAAAGTCACCAAATGTTTTTTTGCTAATAACTCCTTACAGGTTTGAGATACAGCCGTGCGGATAAGCTCATTGTGTTCAGCTCGTCAAGGCCCATCGAATGATATATATGGTGACCTTAAGGTCACGTGACCTAAGGTCAACTTTTGACCTTGACATTTCGAGGTCAACATACACATGTTTCGATGCGGATCGACGAGAGGATCACGATGGTGCTATTAATTTGTTCCTAGCTGGGATACTTTGAAAGTTATTCGAGAAAAACTTCATATATATGTAGTGCCGCCATTTAGACTTTCTTTTTACCCCTATGACGTCATCTTTGACCCGACCTGAAAATGACCTGAGTAAAAATTGTAGACCTTATCCATGTGTACTTTGTGCCGTTTACCACTTGTCGCTATCTTGCTTTGTTCTCGAGATCTCGCTGTCGCTCCCGCTCGTAATAATGGGAAGGTCATAAAAATGACCTGACCTGAGGTCAACGCAGGCCGAAAGCCACTTTTTTATTATCGCATATGAATGACAATTGATAAGGCTTTAATCGTCATCAGACAAAATTGCGACTTTCAGTTGGGATAATATCAAGGTCACTCTTCGAAAAAAAGGTCAAGACTCAAGATGTCACGTGATCAAAATTTTCAAAAATCGAAAATCCGAGATAGCCAAAACGTTTGTTGGTTGATTGCAAGTTGAACCATATAAAGTTTTCACCATAGAAAACCAATATGCACCTGTAGCTTCTGCACCCACTGACTCCCAACCGTCAGAGCCACGTGCCACCCCTGGTATGCCATCGCAGGCAGCGTCTGCAGCTGCTGCCACAGATTCTGAGGTTGGGCTGCCCATTGGTCCTGTCCCACCAGATCAGTAGTCCTGATTGAGGCTAGCTGGTCACGAAACTGATTGATTTCCTTTGCTTCGGGTTCACCAACCCCACTGCATGTACCCCGAGTACCTGAACTTGTTTTCTTAAGTAGTGTATCCTGTCTCTGATTGTGGTTGCTGAAACCCCTCAGTTTATTTATTTATTATATATTATTATTTCAGTTCCAGATTTAGGTAATTGTTTTTTTTTTTCTTCAATCATTTGTGTTTACTGATTGGCATCTGTAATCTTCTCTACGAATAGTACTCTCTAGTCTTCTACCATTTCCTACAATGGAACCTACCATGTAATCCTTGAGGATGGGTTTCCCAAACTTGTTCCTGATGACTCTCCTATCCTACACAATATTCCTATAAGTATACCCCATTTACAATCTGTTTCCTCTAAATGCAAAACAATCCTGCCCTCATCCATGTCCCATGTGCTAGACAAAACGGACTTATCAATGGTTCACATTAATGCTCGCTCACTCCACCAAAACTTTGATTTTATTGTTGCTTTTGTTTCCAAGCAAAATATTAAAGTCGATATACTGTTGATCTCTGAAACTTGGCTTAAACCTGACATCACTGACTGTTACAGGGTTGATGGGTATGAAATGATCCACTCCATACCCACTGATAATGTCACTGGCAAGGGCTGTGCCATGTATATCAAGAGTGAAATCTTTCCATACTGTGCAGTGATCGATGAGATGTCTGTATGCCAAACTGAGTTTCAATGTATTAGCATTCTTATTACTTTTCCACATGGAGTCCCATTTGTTGTGTGTACTCTATAGGTCACCGTCATACCCACTTTCCCTTTTGATGCCATTTCTTGAAGATACCCTTGATAAAGTAGTTCAACTGAAGAAGCCATGCTTTTGGGGTGGAGACTTTAATGTGAATCTATTCAAATACAATGATAATCATGATTCTAAGCAATTTTTAGATTGTATGAGCTCTCATGGCTTTTATCCTACTATCACTGTTCCTACGAGAATATCAACCACTCCACCCTTCCCAGCAACTCTCATTGATAATATTTTCACAAATGTCCTAGATGCCATCACATTTAGTGGGGCTATCTGTGCGGGGATTGCTGACCATCAAGCTGTTTGCTGCACTACCGACCTGGTCAAACAAAGCCCAACTGTCAAAGGAGCTGCATCCAGACCTAAATTTAACTATAATCGAATTGATGAACTCAAAGTAAATGTTCTCAACAGTCTGGAGGGCTTTTTGGAACTGGACGATCCAGACGACTGTGCTAGTAAGCTAATATCTGTAATACAGACCAAAGTCTCAGAACTCTCCTCAATCAAAACCTCCAGGAAAAGCATCCCCGTACAACCCTGGGTAACACCAGGGCTCCTACGCTCTATGAACACGAGGAGCGCTCTTCTGAAGGCATTTCTAAAGGATCGCTCCAATGATAAACTGAATAAGTACAAGAAGTACCGTAATGCTCTGAGACTTACTTTGAGACATGCCAAACAAAATTACTACCGTTCACAATTTGAAAAGAATGCTGGCAATCCCAAGAGGCTCTGGGCTGATTTGCTAGAGGCTATTAATAAACGAAAAACGCAAAGGGATCTGCCCAGCAGATTCGAGACTGAAAGCGGTACAGTCACAGCGCCTGATAGGCTGGCATGCATGTTTAACGACTATTACGCTCAAGTAGCCCCAACTTTGGATGCAGCTCTTGGCCCCTGCACGGTTGATCCTCTAACATACCTGAATGATGTTGCGGTTCCAAATGAATTAGCTTTTCAGCCAGTTAACCAAGCAGTTGTTTTAAACATTGTTGAAGGGCTAAAGGATTCTGGTGCTGGCTTGGACGGCATCAACAGTAAACTTTTAAAACATCTGATCCCAGTGATTGTTCCACACGTAACTCATTTAGTTAACACCTGCATCACTAAGAGCAAATTTCCAGCTGTGCTGAAAACTGCTCTGATTACTCCAATATATAAATCAGGCTCGCAATCGTTATTTTCGAATTATAGGCCTATCTCAGTGTTACCTGCCATTTCTAAAGTTCTTGAATCAGTGATACATTTTCAACTCCTTAGTTTTATCACTGAACATAACATACTTTTTGGGCAACAATTTGGATTTAGAGCCAATCACTCAACGTATATGCCCATTTGCCTTTTGCACGATATTATTACTGCCAAACTTGTTGCTGGCCACTCCACTGTGGGTATCTACCTTGATTTGGCTCGTGCCTTTGATACAGTAAATACGAATATTCTTCTTAAAAAGCTGTCAAAATATGGCACTACGGGTAATGCCCTGTCTCTTTTTTCATCTTATCTTACTGGTAGAAAGCAATGTCTAAAATTTAATGATACTATTTCGCGTACTATTGACGTTACGTGTGGTGTGCCCCAGGGCTCAATCTTGGGGCCAATCTTATTCCTTCTCTATATAAACGACCTTCCTAAAGTATGTGATGAAGCCAAATTTCTTTTGTTCGCCGACGATACAGCCATCCTCTACTCTGCAAAATCGCGTGCTGAGCTCCAACGTTCAGTTTCACGGTCGTTTCCAAGAGTACTTATGTGGCTCCACGCAAATCGGTTGTCTCTTTCGACCTCCAAAACAGTTTACCAGCTTTACTCCCCTAGTAGTAATGAGATGGAAGGCCTTTCCATACCTGCTAAAGGTGTTAACTTAATGCGAGCCTCTACAGTAAAGTATTTGGGTATCCTAGTAGATGAAAATCTTAAATTCAAGTCTCACATTAGTAAAGTATCTTGCGTCATTAGTAGAAATATTGGCATAATGGGCCGAGCCAAATATCTCCTTAATAAGAGACTCATGATCCTCTTGTATAACTCCCTTGTCCTTCCCTACCTTAGTTATTGCCTGATTGTATGGGGCTCGAATTATGAATGTAACCTAATTCCTATCATCACTGCGCAAAAGCGAGCGATCAGGCTCATAGCTGGTGTGAGTCGCCTGTCCCATACCTCTCCACTCTTCCGTGAACTTAAACTTCTTAAGCTTTGTGATGTCTTAAACAAACAGCTGCTTCTTGTTTTACATGACTTCCTCTTTGACCGGTTACCTGATGCTATTTCGGTTAGGTTCTCCTTGTACATAAGTAATCATTCTCGTCCAGTTCGTAATCCCAGGCACTTCAATGAGCTGGTCTCTACGGACAACGGGGATGGGGTGCCTAATTATCGGTTACGCAATTATCGTTTATTTTCACCATTTTGTAGAGCACCAGTAATCTGGAACCAAGTAATTGCCTCGCGTATACCTAACCTTCGTGATATCCCCTCCAGCAAATCCCTTTTTAAGAAATGTCTTATGCATATCTTCATTGATGACTATTAGATTTTCCAATAACTCAGCTGTATTACTTGCTCTTGTCTTCTTTCTATTTACCTTTTTTTCCATATTTACTTTTTTCCCTGATAGTTCTGATCCACCACCACCACATCCGTTGCTTCCTTGACTTATTGGCGTGCAGCGGGACCTCAGGAAGTTAAACAACCTATATCCCGCTGCACTTAGCCAAACACATTATGTCTAGTGTTAATCATAAACGGGATTAGCATTGTACTCCGTTTAGCATGTATGTATTGTTAGTTCATCGATATAGGTATACATATTTATTCATACATGAATTCATATACAGATTTACAATGGCCATTCAACACTACGCTACTCAAGTTTTCTTTCCAATTCTTTAAATACCCCAGCATCGTACCAGTTTGTACCTGCCTACGTTCCCGACCCCTGAACGATAATGTGATTGACCCCGGCCTAACGTTCCTCTCCGACCATCTGCCCCTACAGCTGAGCTACACGGCTGGACAGGGTCCGGTCGAAGCCCGGTGCCATGCTGCTGGGGGCTGCTGCGGCCTGCGACGGATGGCGGCTGTTGCTTCCGCTCCCTGAGGAGATGCCGTCCTTGTGGCGCACAGGGCGGCTACCCACGGTTGCAGCCCGATGGCTTCATTCTCGGGACGCGGCCCGTTGGATGTGCGACGACCGGCACCTTGCGACCGCTGCGGTGACCGGCAGCGGTGCCCCCTCTCCTGACTTGACAACGGACTACATCTTCGTGCTGCCATGGGGTGGCGCCACTGGTGGGACGAGCGCCACTGGTGGAGCAGGCGCCATCTCTGAGGCGGTACAGCCGACCGGCTGGCTAACGGCGTCGAGCGCCTGATGAATGCTGCGCTGAGCGTCGATACTGAGTCGCCGCTCTCGAACTGTCGAAGTCCCACTGAGCTTGTTGGACATGACTACGGGGCAGCCGACTAGACTACATCCTCGGCCGCGGCCCGTTGGATGTGCGATGACCGGCACCTTGCGACCGCTGCGGTGACCGGCAGCGGTGCCCCCTCTCCTGACTTGACAACGGGCTACATCTTCATGCTGCCATGGGGTGGCGCCACTGGTCGGACGAGCGCCACTGGTGGAGCAGGCGCCATCTCTGAGGCGGTACAGCCGACCGGCTGGCTAACGGCGTCGAGCGCCTGATGAATGCTGCGCTGAGCGGCGATACTGAGTCGCCGCTCTCGAACTGTCGAAGTCCCAGTGAGCTTGTTGGACATGACTACGGGGCAGCCGACTAGACTTCATTCTCGGCCGCGGCCCGTTGGATGTATAATGACCGGCACCTTGCGACCGCTGCGGTGAGCGGCAGCGGTGCCCCCTCTCCTGACTTGACAACGGGCTACATCTTCATGCTGCCATGGGGTGGCGCCACTGGTGGGACGAGCGCCACTGGTGGAGCAGGCGCCACCTCTGTGGCGCTACTGCCGACCTTGGACCGGCGGGATGACGGCGTCGAACGCCCGATGACTGTGTGCTGGACGGCGATACTGAGTCGCCGCTCTCCGGGCACCATCCCCATCGACCAAGGCCCGGCTGGTGCTTGGCGCCGGGTGCCGGATGGCCGCTGCGCTCGGCGGCGGTGCTGGGTCGCCGCTCTCTGGAATGACCGCTGACTCGTCTTTTTGATCTCGTCTTTGTGCTACCGTCTGGTTAGGCACTGTCAAACTCCCCAATATAACCTTTAACACTAACTGTCCGTATTCTAACAAAACTAACATGTGAATCCTTTCCGACCAATCCCGTTTGACAGTGCCATAAATTATGAATTGTTCAATGTGTGATCCCAAATTATAATCAATAAACGGAACGGAACGGAACGGAAATAGTTTCTGAGTTATAAGCCGCCAAACATAGGGTTGCAGTGTGACCTCCAGGAACTGCCCGAGGCTATATCTCGGAAACCGTTGTTCGAAGAAAAAAATCCTTGCCACAGCTGGGTTCCCCGCCCATCACAACCCATTAGACCAATTTTAAGCAAAAAATAAAATATGAGGGTGTAAATTTTATTTATTTTTGGTCGATCTATCGTCGAATGCCCCATCTGCTATAAAACAGGTGCGTGAAAAAATAAATATCCAGAATGTTCGCACCAAGGACGAATATTATAAGTAGGAACAACTGCATGCCATACCAGAAAGTGAGTTGAGTGTTGAAGGCTAGACGGTTCGAGAACTTACATCTTGGTCATACTCCAAGAAGACCTTGAAGTTGTGCTCATCCCTGAACACGTTGTGGTTCGCCAGCCGCGTCAAAAACGTCTCGTGCATGGCCACGGTCTTCTTGAAGGTAGCCAGGTACTCCCTGTTGGTTACATCATTACATGCTGAATTGGTGACAGGATCACATTAAAACATGGAGAAGTTCGAATCGTTAAATACATTCAAATTTTATTTCAAATTCAACTCCAGCCAGACCAGCAAATGTACGAATCAAATACAACAGATTGTGACTTATCTTGATTAACTAATAACTTTCTTGGCCTAAGTCATGGCTGTAGTGTGTATGAAAAATAACCCCCACCACCCTCACAGCCTCAGCCCTCTCGTTATCACACGCGCTTTTCTTCTGCATAAAGTCCACCCGACTCACTGTTCCAATTCCTGCTTCATCTTGTTGAACTCCTCCTTGGTCATGTTACCCTCGCCCTCGCCCAGTTTCTGCAGCTTCTCTCGGGAGGCGTCAAAGTCGGGACGGGGCGGCGCCGGGGGGATCTGGGCGCACGAGACGGGGCGAGTGTCAGCCGGCGAGCAGCGGCGGTGAGCAGAGTGTGTGTAAGAGGCGCGTGAGAGAACGAATACGAAGGAACGCCGTGACACGGCAAGGGGAATTAAAGCGGTTGCTCCAGCTATACCTCTGCGCTACAGTGTTAAAACATACAACTTAACATAAATAACGGTGACAAAGAGCAATTGGGTGAATGATTCAGCTCTCATGGAATTATGGAATATGGAATCAGCTGGGTATCACGCCAATCATTTGTAACCAGCAGCTATGCCGAGTCACGGGATCGTATATTACATATCTTTTAGACCTATGTATATGGGGCCGAGGACCGTTATACTCACGATGAAGCCCGAGTAGCGTTCGTTTTCCTCGAGGCTGTGGTGAAGCCATATGAACTCCTCATGTAGCCGCACTACAGAGAACTCCGGCTTGGCAAAACACGGCAGTGTCGTCTGAAAACGTATGACTCGTCACATCACAAGCGACTGTTTAATGTGGAGCTGTGGCACGCTGACCAGTACCTACCTAAGAAAATCCGTTGAAACAATGCATTTAATTAGTTACGCGATTTGAGGGCATTGCTCAGTGTCCCAAAATTTGTAGATGTGGGTGGGAAGCGACATCCAAATGGAAATCATTTCCACTCTCACCTCCAGTTTTCCAGCCCAATTTTCCACTCCCAATTCCACCGAGAAGGAGCAAATTGTAGATAGATTAATGTTTTTGATCATTTTCCCGCTCTTTTTGGGCCTTACCTGACCGACAATTTTTCACTCTCGTCCTTTTTTTGGTCAGCAATTTTCCCCTCTGACACCCAAGCAAAAATAAAATTTTGGGACACTGGCATTGCTGATGTCAAATTATATCCAAAATACATCCAGGCTCTGGTGGACCGGGAGAAAGAGAGGAGAAGCCAGAACTTAAGTCTTAAAAGTGAACGTTATGGCTTGCCCAGATAAGCAGTGATAAGAAGGGCCCACTGACCAAACGCTCAAACCGTAAGCCATTTCCATCGGAACCAAACCTTATCGCCGGCGATGAACTGACAATGACAATGAGCATTTGTCCTTTGAGAAATCCAACATTTTTCCTACAGCACAGCACCACACCACTGATGGGGACAACCGGCTGCGAAGCCCGATTTCTCATACCTATAAGTTACAATTCGAGAAACTCGTTCCCCGCAGAACAACAGCGGCCTCTAATCACCTCAGCGACCAGATTACAAGCCTTCCCTCACACGCACATACCACTCCAGTTCACAGTTCGACCTCCCATCGACAGTGCGGGGTGAAGTTCCAGCGCCTTCTGACTCTGACTCACCCTCGTGTGGACGGTGAACTTGACCTTGTCACGCTCGCTCAGGGCGTCAGAGATGTCGACCACCAGATCGGCGTCATTCAGGTCCACCGTCTCAGACCGAGTCTGCCACAGCAACGACACCAGTGTGTCAGTCAAAAGACGCAAATAAATAGCATGGAACGGGCAACAAGGGTGCTGATAGCAATTCATCTCAGAAATAAAGCCTATGTCAGTCTAGAAAATTACTGAGTTGTTTTAGACCTAAGCTTCAATGCAACTGTAACAATGATACAAGGTGTTGCCATCGCCCATCAGTATCATACCTCAATTCCATACAGAACTTTAATTACCCATACCATACATATTCCAACAGTTAAAAAATGTCATAAGAAGTTATAACTCTACCTTCAAAGGAACTTCCTTCATGCTGTCAGTCTCCTCATTCACAGTGTCTTCAAGCATTTTGGATGGATTAATTGCAACCACCAGAAGACCAAGAAGTGAAATCAGAAATAACTTTTAAAGTGCCTGGAACATATTCAGAGGTCAGACAATCAACAAAGTATTTTCAGTAGCTTGTGGTGTCATTAGTGGCTGAGACAACCATTTTGTAATGCAACTTGGTGGCAGGAAGTTAGGAGAATCATGTGGAAAATCACTTCAAGAACTTTGCTTCACTTACTCAAATTCCTATGTTATAAGCTGAAATAATTCCACCAAATCTACCATCTGGGTTGGGTCACATTTCCCATCTGTGATCCAATTAACTACAATGAAAACGCTAAGTTATGTCGGCCTATCCAACCACCATCTGAGCTTCACCTATCCCAATGCTCTTTCAACTAGCTTGAGCCAAGCTTGAGCTCAGTTGAAAGAGCATTGAACTCCTGGTGGTGAGAGCTTGGGCTCGGGTTGATCCGATGCTTAGCGTGTGAAACTTGGGGATTGTGAGCAGTTAGTGCCTAGTGAGCACAGCAAAAGCCACTTGAAGTCAGCTGAATAGGAAAGGCTTCATCTGGCTTTGAAGGGCACAGTTGACATTTAACATTGAACTGCATAATTTGTTGGACTCTAAGCCTGCTTTTGTGGAGATTTTCTGGCTGTTTGAATAGCTGGCACAGATTTTGAGATTGAGCCAGTGCACCTCATTGACCTGCAACTTGCAAGCCATACTTTGCAGTATGGGGGACTCAGAGTCAGGACGGGTGGGTTCACACGGTTGGGTTATTACATCATAGACACTGGTTAGTGATTTATGTTTTGAATGTAGAGTATGGTGACTGGTGAGTGAAGTTTTGGTTAGCCCAGGGCCCTGTTCGCTCGCCGTTTTTATATCAGCGTGCTGTCGGTTTTCCCCATATAAGGAAGCTATTGCTGGCGCGGCTTGGCCTCTCACTGGTCTAACGAATAGACCACTTGAATTCGACCAATGAGGAGCCAAGAAGCAGCAGCATGGTCGCAGCCTGCTGATAAATAAACGGGGTGCGAACAGAGCTGGTTAGGTCTTGTCATCTTGGGCCAAAATTTCTTAAATGATCCATTTGAGCCACACTTTATTCATGCATCGGTGCGCCAGCCAAACTTCTACGCACAGAGTTTGGGCACGGAGTTACACCAGACACTTCGGTGCAATCTGCCTGATAATATCACTGACAATGCTTATTTTCAGTCCAGGAAATGCTGGTAAAGCATCAAATCAACCAACACCGACAGCATCACACACACAAACGACACAAAACACACCAAGGCCCTAAAACACATAACACACAAACACATTACGCACAGACACAGGGCCAGTGCAAGGTTCGCATATTGAGATATCAGGATATTACACAAACAGGCTCTGGTTAAAAAAGAATTGACGACTTTTTACCTATTTTGGAATTTATTAGCAACATTCATTTTTAAATATCATATAAATTAATTGTTTATATTATTTTTGTTATTTTTCACATTAAAATAAAGCAAATTTGTAACAAAACTACAAAATTATTAATTATACGTCATTTTATTGGATAAAAAAGATACTTCTTTGCAAAGCATTTGTAGCAGCTGCGTCATATATGTCATGAAAAGCTAAGCATGGTAGGACAAACATTTGGAACATACACAAACATCTCCTCGATTTCGTGCAGAGTTGTTATGTACCGTGCTGTGGAGAAGCAGTGTTGGTATTTGTATTGGGGCGAACATAGAGGATCAGGAGCATTGGGACAATATCTGTGTACCTGCACTCTGCAGGAATCTCATCTTAGAACAAACTTCGATAAATTTAGCGTGGCGTGGGTTCGGCATCCGGAAAATCAATTTTCCGGGATCATTCGGTGTTTTAGGCTGACACCGTGGACATGCCAACGAGTAAAAGAGTTATTACTGAAGCAAAAACAATCTAAAAATATGACTAGTCTGTTCCATATCAAGCTTGCAGTAGGAGTTTCTTTGGCAGATCGCTCCGCTCCAGAACTTGCGTCTTAAAATGTAAGAGCTGTATATACAGAAATCACGCACTGCTTTCAGCAGGGCACTTCGGCTGCAAGCTTGAAACGGACAGAGTATAATTGCATCGATAGTCCCTGCAATACCAAATTATCACCATTGATCCCAGATAATTATCCCTCATGTTCCGTATGTCGAACGTACGCTTGAGCGAAACAAACCACTAAAAAAAATCAAACTTGAACTTGAACTGGGATCTGGCAGGAGTTTGAGGAGCATGAGTTTAGTCTTGGAAGTCAGATTATAGTGGTGGAGTGGTTTTACGTTTAGCATTGGGTGTGCAGTGTGCACTGTGCAGAATGCAGATGGTGGCGGATAAGATTTAATTCCAATATTATATATGGCCCTATTATATATGATATAGGGCCTTGCATTCTAACGCCAGGCTGGAAAACATCCATACACTACAGCGGATGCCTGTGAGACCGTCATGCATCAAAATGTGGCGCAAGAGATTTCGTGCTGAAATAGGGGCATGATTTGTACCAAAAGCTGGGTGCCTTATTCAGCCCAAATTTGGAGAGCATTCTGGTCTAGTCTAACTAGGGGTAAGCTCCTTGCCTCTAGATTCAGCCGTCCGGGCTCAATTCCTGGGCAATGCATGTGGCATTGCAGATGCCTGACCACTTGGAACAGCAAGAGGGTTCCGGTCAGCACCTTGGTCCACTGGATATGGTGCTTAGCCCAAACCAACTAATCGACCAGCACCCAAATCAAGTGACTTATGCAAAATGCATTCATGTTAGATCCCCCATGCTAGAGCATCTGAATTTGTTGATGTTTCCTTGGAAACACAGCTCTAGGGCTGCAGAGTTGATGGATTTTGGTGACTCAGTTTGACTCTGATTCCTGCTTTCAAAAACCAACTCCAAATCCAGGTAGAACTATTGACTCCAACTACTCCATCCCTGACTCTGGGGACCTGGCAGGGCTGCAGAGTTGATGGATTTTTGGTGACATTGACTCTGACTCTGGCTCTGGTTTCCAAAATTGACTCTGACTAGACTCCAGTCACAACTGTCAAATCCGACCGAGTCCAACTCTGCAGCCCTATCCAATACCACAATATGCATAACACACTGTAGCGTTATGCTGTGAAACAGGGCTTGGGCCGGAAATTCCAGGGCCACAAAAATCGGCGGAGTTCGAGGCTGGCTGGCGCCGGCGTGGGCCATGTAGCAGAGCAGTACGTGCTCCAGCACATCAGCCTCTTCTCGGCATACGGTGCAGAGCGCCGCGGGGCACCACTTGTCCGGGCACTGCTGGCACGCCGCGGAGGGGTGACGGCCGATTCGGTGCAGGTGCTGGAGCGAGCGGCCCCAGTAGCCCGCCCTCATCTGGTGCACCGAAACGGCGTCCTCTCGGTCCTCTCCGGGGATGGGGAGCGGCAGAGTACTCCCGAAGATTGGTTTGAACGGTTTGAATAAAGACTCGGGCCAGCACTCGCGCCACTGACGCGAGGTCGCACGATGAACTGCCCCTTTTCCCAGTACCCCTATAACCAAATAGGGCACCTATGGGGGAGCCGATGCAAAGGCTATTCCCCCAAAGACTCATCTGCATCTGCATCTGCCCGGGTCAGCGAGCGGGCGCCCTAAGGCATGGTGTCCTGGGGCAGGGTACCCGCTTGTTTCGCCAGGTAGTCCGCGCGCTCGTTCCCCTCGATCCCACAGTGGTAAGAAGTAAGAACCCACTGTTGGATTACTTCACGGCGCTTGGCGATGTTCAGCAAGGTCTTCCATACCTCCGCACCGATGGGGTAGGTCGGGCGGCTCGCGAGCTGGAGCACGCGACGACTGGGGCTGGGGACGTCTCGTTCTGAGCCCTTTTCAGAGCCGCCCGCAGGTCGAATGTGCTGCTAAATTTACAAGCGTCCCGGAATATTTGGTGGCTGTCATTCGCCGAAAAAATAATGCGGCTGCCATGCACCGAAAAATTCAGCGGCTGCTATGCGCTAAATTCAGCGCATGTGAAGCTACGCCGGATGTCCGCCGAAATTTTCGGCGCAATCCCGCCACTACGCGGGACATATTCGACATAGCGTGTAGGTACCTATTTTTCCAGTCTGGATAAGTACCTAACGTACCTATCTAAGTGGATGACTCACAGGCACAGAGACATGTAATTAATGAAGTATGCATGCAGTAGCTCTTGTGTTTTTTACTGGGGTTCTCGACTGCTGCCGTCTAACAACTAACAGTACCTATTCTGTTTTTGTTTCAGAATGGTATAAATGCTGATGCTCTTGCGTGTGTGAAGTATCCAATGCATGGTTTCTTCATCCAGCAATGTCATCTGAAAATCAAGCTGCAGGTCAGCATTGGAGGCCTCTGCAGTCAACACAAAGTGGTGGCCCTTCATCTGCGCCCGGCAACTCCTTTGGATGGAATAACCAAATGAGAGGTGGCCGTGGACCTGGACCTGGCAGCTGGCAGCGTTTTGCAGGGCCTTCATATCAATTTCCGTTTCGTGGTCATGCTCGACGTGGTCCCGGCCCCGGGAGACCGCCAAAACGGAGACCGCCCCAGTTCTTCAGACCACCCCAAAGCATGTGGGCCCAGCAAATACCTTTTAGGCCGCCTTTCCCAGGGATTCAGTCACACATTGATTTTACTTCTGATTCCATGTGTGATGATTCAGGTTCATTTATGCCTGACAAGCCTCCCAACTGGCAACTGAGACCGCCACAGCCACCACAGAATCATCCACCTCATCAGTCACTGGATGCGCCGTTCTACCGGCGAGAAAAACAGGTGCCCACTACAAGCAACACCAACTCCAAGAAGAAGAAGAAGAAATTATCAACTCCACCAAAAAAAGCATCAAGTGCAATCTTAATCAGGGCCTCCGAACGTCAGAAAGCAAGACATCAGGCCGCTGTCAGGGTGCAAGCAGCACCAAAGGCGTCTCCAGGAAATTCCGCAAAGAAAAATGGGAAAACACCTGCCACCAAGAAGACAAAGAAGGCGCCTGTTAAGTCTGCAGAGCAAGTGGCAGAGGAGACCAGACTGAAGGCCATGAAGACTACTGCCAACAAGATCAAGACGCTGCTGAAGAAGCCCAAGCCGGCAGCGGCTGCAGCCGGCCCTTCCAGCGCCTGGCTGAACGCTCCCGAACAGGAGTCTGCCGCCGGCGCGTCCGGCCCACGATTGTCGCGAAACCTGCTCGGCGAGCTGGAGTTCTCATCGACTGACTGGCAGGCGATCGGATCGGGCGGCCTGGGCGCCAGGGGCGCGGCAGAAGAGGGTGAGGACAGAGAGACGGAAGACGATGATCAGGTGGAGATCATCGAACAGGAGGTGCGGGAGCCGGAGGTCATCTCCATCGCCGGCGAGGAAGAGAGCGATGAAGAAGAGGAGGATGATGGAAAGCAAGATGATGAAGTCGTTGACGAACTGGTTGACGCGGAACAGCCGCGAGAGGAATCTGGTTCAGCAGCGAGCTCAGACGATATTCCATCTGAAATTCAAACGAGGGATGGTCCTTGTGCTGACCAAGCAGAAGACGTGGACTCGTGTAAGGCCTCTGATGCTCTCTCCGCGCCTGGTGGCGATCCTTTGGTGATGCCTTTGGCGAGCGATGCGGGTGCGCTGTCCGCAGCGACGGCGGTGGACTGCGCTCCGAGGGCCTCATCCGACACCTGCGACGGCGCGGCTCAATCGTCAGCAGTCACCGTCAGTAATGAATTAGACGAGTTTGATGCGGCGGATGTCACCATGACGGGCCGGAGCGGCGGCCGGCGGCCGGCAGATCGGCTCAAACACACCAGCTCTGTACCGTCTCCGGCCGTTCCGGCTCTGGACGGAGGCGAGTCGGATAGCTCGGGGCCCGCCCCCTCGCCTCTGCGACTTCCTCGGTTAGAAGAGTCACCGACGCGTGCTCCCGAGGCGGATGTGCCCAGCGGCTCAGCGTCGGCCGCCCCTCGCACGGCTTCCCCACTGTCCAGGTCGTCGCCACGGCTGAGCATAAAGCGCAGACGATATCAGGGCTCTGTGAGGAGAGGCAGAGGTGGTGTCTTAGCGACACAGCGTGGAGGGGCATCGGCGCTGCTATCTGCTGCCGAGTGTGTAACGTCGGCAGAATTTCAGCCAGTGGTGAGGATCAAACGCGAGCCAGGGCTGGATGGTGACGCGATCTCCGGAGCGCGCGGTGCTCTCACGTCGTCCTCTGAGACCGCCACTCCGTCTCGCAACTCGCCAGCCGAGTCGAGGGCCGAGTCCCCCACTGTCGTGGGTGTT